GTTCTAAAAAAACTTCACTGTTAATGTCAGTGTAACATGCGTTACTTCAATGAGAACTGTTGATCTGGAATGCGTCTGTCGTGTCATTGACAAGTTCTAAGCTTCACAAGTGCTCTTCAGAATAAATGATACAGAAATTAACGCAAAATACTTTTTTTTTTTTTTCACACAGTTTCAGCAGTCCCTTTGACTCTCTGTCCCTTTGACTCTGTCTCTTTGACTCTCTGTTTCTCTGTCTCTGCCCCAGCTCTTCACAGGAGAGACTGATTCCCCTCTGCATAGGGTTTATGTAACTCCCTAATTGATGGACTAGAGCAACCTGGTTTTTAACCCTCTCTAGTCAGGTGTTAAGACACCTCCCGTGTCTTTAAGCCAAACCGCCGTTTAGTAAACCTTCCCCGGCTGCAGTACAGTCTCTGTTCGCTTACTCTGTAACCCACGAACCAAATGCAGGGGAAGCGGCAATCTCCCGATCGAAATCCACGAACGGCTCCAAACTCCCGAACGGCAATATACGAACTGCTAGGAACCGTCGAACAATAATATCCCCAAAGCGGCTTTCGTTCCATCCAGCAGTCTCTAAACGTGAAGAAGAAATCCCCCCAATAACGAGACAGAAGCTCCGCATTGAGGGTCAAATAAGATCTGGGTTTACTGTGGGCTACCTGCCCGTATTTATGCAGGTCTCCCACCTGGTGGACACTCCCCTAGGGGACCAAATGGAAGACTTAAAGTACAGACAGATAGCAGGACATTTCTGACACACAGTCACATATTTTACCCACAGTACATTCTGATTCCCTCCCCTCTGTCCTGGAGTTAATTACCAAGTAACTCAATTAACTCCAGGACAAGGACAGTCGCCATCTTAAACATGAAATAATAAAAGACACAAAAATGCATAACTACATGAAGACTGAACATTTCCCATTCGTATTACATGTCCCCAGATAGCCTGGATCTGAGTGCATATTATTGGCGAATAGCGCTCAGATCCCACACACATAGTTCAATCGCCATGGAGTCAAAGTTCTTACAGTCCTTCGGTACACGAATGACTCCATGGGTGGGCTATCTGGGTTAAGTCTTTTGTGTGTTCTCAATCTCCCGAACGGCCGATGTTCGCATGCTTTCGTGGAGGCAGCCAGGCGTTCCCTTGTTTCAGCGGTGTTCGACAGAAAAAGTGTCCGTTTTCCGTTCCATAGAAATAGAGCCAAACACCGCTGAGCGTTCGCATGATTTAAAATGGCCGCTGCCTCGTGGTCGACATACGAACGACGACCACCCTGAGTTCGGTTTAATTGAGAAGTGTCTGCGGTTAACCACAACGTTATAATGGTGATCACTTCGTTAACCTGCAGCACACTCCTCACTTGGGTGGCCGTTCGTTCGGCGGTTTTGTTCGGGAAAAAGAGTCATTCGAATGGCTGGGCTATAGAAACCAGCCATTCATACGAACGGGGACAAACAGACGAACGGGCAAAAATCCAGCAGACAGATGGTTCTGTCACACGGCTCCCTCCTTGTGGGACACTCCGGCAGACCCGGCTTGACCCTGTGGCGGGTCAACTTGGGGATGACCGGACTACGAGGTGATGGAAACGTCTGTTTGTCGTGACAACCCATCTGCGTTTCCGTTTAGCTTACCGGGTCTGTAGCTGATGGTAAAATTGTAGGGCTGTAGTGCCAAGCTCCATCTCAGCAGTCTCCCATTGTCTCCTGAGACCCGGTTAAGCCAAACGAGTGGGTTGTGATCAGTCACAAGGGAAAACTCTTGCCCATACAAATAGGGGCTTAACTTTTTCAGTGCCCAGACCAAGGCCAAACATTCCTTCTCCACTGCCGCATAACTCACTTCTCTGGGTAACAACTTTCTGCTGAGATATGCGACAGGGTGCTCTCCTCCATCTTCCCCGACTTGGCTCAGCACAGCCCCCAGTCCATACATGGAAGCATCTGTATGGACGAGAAAGCGTTTGTTAGGGACTGGGGCAGCCAAGACAGGGGCATTCACAAGAGCCTGCTTCAGTGCCTGGAACGCAGCTTCACAAGCCGGAGACCACAGGACCTGCTTAGGCAAGTTCTTCTTCGTCAGGTCTGTCAGGGGCTTAGCGATAGCGCTGTAGTCAGGGACAAAACGTCTGTAGTACCCTGCCGTCCCCAAGAAGGCCAATACCTGGGTCTTAGTAGTGGGTGTGGGCCAGTTAGCCACTGCTTCTACCTTGGCTGGCTCTGGTCTCTGGCTCCCACACCCCACTCTGTGACCCAGGTACTGCACTTCAGCCATACCTAGATGACACTTTTCTGGCTTCAACGTCAGGCCAGCGGCCCTAATCTTATCCAGCACTACCCCTACATGTACCAGGTGTTCCTCCCAGGACCCACTGTAGATCGCAATGTCGTCCAAGTATGCACAGGCAAATTCTTGGAAGCCATCCAGGAGTCTATCCACCATCCGTTGGAAAGTAGCCGGTGCATTTTTCATCCCAAAAGGCATGACCTTAAATTGGTACAGGCCAAATGGGGTGACAAATGCCGACTTGGGGATAGCATCCTCGGCCAGGGGATCTGCCAGTAGCCCTTACACAGGTCTATGGTGGTCAGATATCGCCCCCTGGCAATACGATCCAGTAATTCGTCTACCCGGGGCATTGGGTAGGCGTCAGTGGTGGTCCGCTCGTTGAGTCGCCTGTAGTCCACACAGAACCGGGTGGTCCCATCTTTCTTTGGCACCAGGACTACAGGCGAGGCCCAAGGGCTGTCGGAGTGCTCGATAACCCCAAGCTGGGTCATCTCCTGTATCTCCTTCCGCATTCCTTCACGGACTGCTTCAGGGATACGGTAGGGGGGCTGTCGTAACGGGGTCTGTCCAGGGGTCTCTACCTTATGCACAGCTAGGGTGGTATAACCTGGTTCCTGGGAGAACGTCGCCTGCTTCTCCCATAACAACTGCTGCGCCTGTACTCTTTCTGTGGGGTTCAACCGGTCCCCTAGCTGTACCAAGGTAGTAAGGTCAGTCTGGGAATCCCTTTCTAATAGATCTGGAAGGGGTAAATTCTCAGAATCATCTGCAGCTGGGGCACACACTGCTGCAATATTCTCAGGTCTCTCCTGGTACTCTTTCAGCATGTTCACATGAAAGGACCGCTGGATCCTCTCATCTGCACAGCTGGCTATCAAGTAAGTAGTGTCGCAGATCTGCGCCACTACCTTGTACGGGCCCTGCCAAGATGCTTGCATCTTGTTGGCCTTCACAGGTTTAAGCACCAATACTTTTTGCCCAACCTGGAAGACCCGCTGTCGGGCACCCTGATCGTACCATCTCTTCTGTCTCCCCTGGGCCGCCTGGAGATTCTCCCTTACCATCAGGGACAGTTTCTCCATGCGGTCCCGGAGTTCCAGAACATATGGCACTATGGGGGTCCCTTCCTGCTCCGTCTCCCCCTCCCAGTGGCCTCTAATGAGATCTAGGGGTCCGCGGACCCTTCTCCCATACAGCAGCTCAAAGGGGGAGAACCCAGTAGATTCCTGGGGCACCTCTCTATAAGAAAATAATAGATGAGGCAGGAATCTCTCCCAGTCTCTGCAAGTGTCTGTAAAGGTCCTCAGCATCTGTTTGAGGGTACCGTTAAAGCGCTCGCAGAGACCGTTAGTCTGTGGGTGGTAGGGTGAGCTAAGTAACGGCTTAATGCCACACACCTTCCACAGTTGCTGGGTGAGCACAGCGGTGAATTGGGTTCCCTGGTCGGAGAGGATCTCCTTAGGGAACCCGACCCTAGTAAAAATTCTAACCAGGGCATCAGCAACCGTCTCTGCCTCTATGTTAGACAGCGCTACTGCCTCTGGATAGCGGGTGGCATAGTCCACCACGGTAAGAACGTACTTCTTACCGGATGGACTAGCCCTGGCCAGTGGACCCACAATGTCAACGGCTATGCGGGCAAAGGGCTCCCCTATAATAGGCATCGATAATAGCCTGGCCTTAGGGTGGTCCCCCCGCTTTCCTACCCGTTGACATGTGTCACACGTGCTGCAGTACATCCGCACAGCCTGGTTAAAGTTTGGCCAAAAGAAGTTCTGTGAAATCCTATAGGCTGTGCGGCGGGACCCTAGATGTCCAGCTAAAGGAACATCATGCCCTATCCGCAGAATCTCCTGCCGGTACTTTGCAGGTACCACTAACTGGCGATTCGGCGGAGAGGCAACACTCTTCTGGGAAGGTTTAGGGATCCTATATAACCTGTCCCCCACCCACTCATACCGTTCCCCATCTATTCCTTCCTCCCCAGCCTCTGCCCTGTCCTTGTATCTTTGGAGGGTCGGATCCGCCCGGGTTTCCCTCCCAAACTCCTCTGGGGAATCCCAGCTTAAGGGGACCTGATCTGGGGTATCAGTCGGGGAAGGAGATCTTACCTGGGTCTCGTCA